AGTAACATGAAGATCTATGCAATTAATCTCTCGCATAAAAAATAAAGTTCAAATTTTAAATTACACAACGATTACCGCATTGTCTTAAAATGTTATATCGAATTTAATCCGAATGGATTTATTTTCAAAGCGGAACCCAAGGAATGTTATAGTAAACAATAGAAATATGTCATAGTTATTAATTCTGTTGGCCATGCACTTAAGGCATTCGCTTTGTCATAAAGCATGAAGCTTTGTGCCACCCACTGGCAAGGCTGACGACGGCCTGGAAAGTTTTTTTTAGACGTCCCATAGATTCAGTTAAATTTCGTTTTTTTTAAATTATCGAAGTTGCTTCTTGTAGCCTTGACATGAGACTGTCGTTAGGCATTGTGACTTTTTCGTTGGAAAAGGAACTTGTCGAGCTGTAACTCAGTCACGCACTGGTGGTCTGATGGTTGCCTGTTGGCAACTGCTTATTTGTCGCAGCTAACCTCCATATCTGAAGGTTGTTCCTCTGCTTCCAATTCGGTAAGGCACTGTATGGTCCGCACATAGTGTGAAAAGTCGTCAAAATCACTCATCGTCTGTCACAAGGCAAATGAGGAAGTCTAATTTTTTCCCATTTCAGTTTCTTCCATTTACCCAGTGCGATAAGCTGCATGACGTCTCTGAAGCCCTACATCGAAAGGGTAGCTGAGCCTAGACCAAGATGAATTACCATCTATGATGTATTGTGGAAATCAGCTTTTCTCCCCAGTAACGTTGCCATCTGTTGCCTCAGGGCTTAAATTCGTAAATCAGTCGTTTGACCTAGCGAGCACTAGATGGTGGAGGAAGCAGCAAATTGCTGCATAGACGTAGCGCATAATTTTAAGAACGTGTTTTCATAAATATTATTTGGAATTATTCGAACCAGATGTACTGATATTTTAAACGCGACTAAATGAATGTCAATTTCGAATGATTTTGGCACTTTAGTGTGAAATTTGTTTATTCGGTTTAAATTTATGCGGAAGTTTTCGAATTGTGCCGAAATTTCCAAAACCAGGCCTCAGTGTACTGTGCTCAGTTTGCAATTAGTATAATGCGATAAAACGGTGATGTTATGGTTTAGATGGTTACGTTGCTTCTAAAACTATGGCATAAAGAAAAAAATCATTTTGCATGCATGACCCAGAATCAAGATGCGTTTCCGATATTGTCATCGTACGATGAGAGAGTACAGCTCGAAACGTTGGTAATGTGCTAAATAAAATTTTTATAATTAACCATCTCGTAAGTAAACGAAGGTGACCGACTTGTGCTGTACTATTAAAAGCAGTCCTTTAAAGCTGACAGAGCCTAAACAGCTTAAAAACTGCTTTTTGATGTCTGACCCTTAGGCTAAGGCTAGTGTTTCTCTTCGCAACCAGATCTGCATCAGCGAGATATTTCCACGTTTAGTGTTGTTTTATGAAACCAAATCTGGTGCCGGTCTCGTCAGAAGTTGATCTGGTGGTTTTCTCAGTAAGTCCACTGGTTCAGCATCTCCTCGTACATGACCCGATGGTACCATCGCACTTTAAGAATGCGCGATGATGTTTCGTGATAGCAGATGCTTCGAGACTTTACATGAGCAGTAATGATCTCCGTGTCCGTTATTATAGTCTCTTCCTTCTATTAGGTCATCTAGCTTGCCATGATTCGCTGATAGCGTTCCAATATGTCGATTCACTTAAGCATCAATATCGCCATCGTCACTCAACATAGTTCTGACGTACTTTAAATGTTTCAGCTCGTGCGTAATATCTTCTACTTGTACTCCCAAGCTAACGGTAGCAGCTGGCACCATCGTAATTGTAGTCTGCTCGAAGTGTCTGTATTGCATACACTTTTGATGATTTTCGGTAGGGCCAGTTGCGGAGTCGCTCAGCAGCAGAATGTCATCGGCGTACTCGAAGTTCGTTAAGAATACATTGCAACCTGATACCTCGAGTT